AGCAATGGGACTGACTATCAAGTCACTTGTATTTTCAAAACGCTGCTGGGGGTAGGATGGGGGGGGGCGGTGGGGAAGAATATGAATCAAAGGGTGTCTGGTCAAAGCCAGGGAGACAGGGGAGGAGAATGTAGAAGGTGAGAGATAAGGCGCAGATGAGTGTTAATGCAGATGGAGCTGGAAACAGCAACTCTTGCAGGCTAACCTAACTGAACTTCACGTCCTATTCTTAATAAAAATAGTGACCTCATTTTCTGCGTGTGGAAACTGAGCTCAGGAGAGATGAAGTCAATTGCCCAGCATAAGAGCATTGCACTGACAGTCCCCACACTGTGTCCTGCCCCGGCCCACAGCCCTGTGAGGAGACCCTCGGGAGTTGTTGGGAGTATCCAAATAGGGAGTTCCACCTCAGCCAGAGCAGCTATGCGCTTATCAGTTTCATAAATGGCAATTCTACATAAGACTGCAGCTGAAAGGGTGGTTTTTTTGGCTTTAAAAAACCCTGTTGACTCTCGTGGCACAGGCAGAGCTACAGGTAGGCTGGAGGGCTGGCCCGCAGTGAGCTGAGCTATCATGAGTCCCAGTTTCCTATATCCCACCACACCTCGGTTCTTAGCAACCTTCAGTGCCATGCCCTGTACCTCGGCAAACCCCCACTCCCTACTACCAAATCTACGCCCAGGGCACCTGACAAGTGACAACGATGCCCAGGCAGGCCCTCCTTCTGGGCTATCGGGGAGGGGTCGGTACAGTTGAGCAGCAGAAGTCCAAGAGGGAAGTCCCTAAGCCCCTTTTACTGTCTCCATGACTCCTGTGCCCACATGAGCATCAACAGGGCCCATGTAGGGATTAGACCCAGGGAAACAGAGATCCTCTGCCTTTCTACATCAAACCTGGGGATATCAAAGATGCCCCATCTCAAACCCTCATCTACCCTTCCTCCGGACCAAGCCGGCAGAGCAATCAATAGAGGGATAAAGCCAGGAAATGGTTAACCTGGGGAAGAGCAGCAGAAGTCAATTGATCCACAGCCCCTCCTGGTTGGGCAATAAGGCCTCTGAGAGCTGCTTTTGCTGACCTCCCTTTGGCGCCACAGAGCTGGACAGTCACAGCTTCCAATCTGCCTGGAGGTGGGGGTTGGGTGCTCAAGGCAGGACAGGAAGGGATGGATGGTGGTGATGGGTGGGAACCACTGGGCTCTGCGTCTTGGGGAGTCAGGAACAGGCAAGACCTCAGAGGGTTTGTCACCTGACAAGACTGGCAGCTGCAGGAATAGGCGCGGGAGACCCTGGGATGTAGAAAACCCCCGGGAATTCGGTCAGAGAACTGGAGGCAGCCCTGGTACTGCTGTGAGCCCTCGCGCACTCTGATCGTCCTCTCTGGGCCTCGCTGTCCTCATCTGTAAGATGGAGAGGAGATGTTAGCCCAGCCAAAGATTTCAAAATAAAAAATTACGTGTGTATAACTTTTTAATAATCAATTTTTAAAAATCAAGAAGGAAGTTTACAGACAGCTGGGTATGACTCATATAAGTTGGGAAACCATACTGCTGCCTGTTTTTCTGTTGCTAATAATCTGTCATAATGTCACAGTTTTATGATGAAATTTTAGAGGCATTAGCCTTTACCAGCTGGAAATAATATACAGTAGTTAACTTTCAGTTTAGATTCCAATGTCTAAGAGACCCCATTTAGCTAACTCAACTCCAGCAACAGTCGCCTGCAATGATGAAACGTGTGGACTGAGTAGTTCCAGAAAAATCCTATGCAGCCTCTGAGCTGGGGTCAGGCAGGTGCATTTGGTCAGCCTGATGTTATGGCCCAGGGAGAGGGTTCAGGCCAGTAGTACCCAAGGCCAAGAAGCTGCTGTCAAGATGGAATCTGGGGCTGCAGGCAGCGGCTGAGTTGGCCTCTAGTGCTGGAAGACTGCGCAATGGGGAGAGTGGCAGGCATTCTCCACCTATCCAGGGAGGAAGTGGGTGCCTGAAGCAGAAAATGGAGTGAGCAAGAGTGGCGGTGAAAGATGAACATGCCTAGCGCTCTTTTCTCTCTTCACCCACCCCCGCTAACTCTCTCCTCTGCCCCAGTGACGTATGCTTTCGGTAGAAGAGGGGCCCAGAGTCAGAGAGCCTGGCTTCTGATCCTGGACCTTCCTCTCAGTGTCTAATGACCTGGGCAAGGCCCATAAACTCTCTGGACCTTGGTTTCCTCTTCCGCAAAGCAGTGATCCTCTCCCATCTCTGCCCTCCTTGTGGGGTTAGGAGAGCAAATGAGAGATGCCCAGGAAAGCACCCTGTAAATCAAAAAGCCCTCTACAAACAGAAGTCACCTCCATTAGCTACTATGTAATCTGCTGACTCAAAACTGGGCTGCACTGTCTCCTGTCCCACCAGGAAGTCAGAAGAGCCGGTTCCATCACTTACCTGGCAGAACTTAGTTTTAGTTTCCTATCTGACAAATGGAGGTGGTACCTATTGTCCTCCTATTTCATGGAGTTGTGGTGTGAATCACAGCATGGAGTTTATTGTGTTGTTAATCATAATAATGATAGTACTGAATACAGTTCACACTCCTGGCCTATGTTTAATCTGGAAATGCCCTCCTTGCAAATCTGGCTCTGCACGGGGACTTGGGTCCTCACCAAGTTCTTCACACCCTGGGCCTCTGGTTACCCCACATCTCAGCACTCAAGTCACATACCAAGCTGATTATGGCTAAAATGATGAGCGCCTGTCTTTTTGCCCCCGTGGACTTCTGGCTCTTGGAGGATACTGGGCTGTGGGTAGCACAGACTGTCATTTCACTAGCTCTTGGTACAAAGGATAGGTCACAGTTGGCACTCCGTAAGTGTGGAATAAAGGAATTATGTGTTAATGCTCTTAACATACTTGCCCATTACACCTGGTCCAGGCCATATAGTTCAGACACCAGTAACTATTTTTTTTTTTGTTTAATTGAAAGCAGTAAGAAGTCTGAAGAGAAGTAGAGGGTCGGTGGCCCTGAATTCTGGGGACTAAGAGCAGCAAATCAGGCTGAAAAAGAGGTAGACGAGCTTTTGGAGTTACGAGTCCTAAATCTCGAGGTCAGGTCCTAGCTGTCATTTATTAGCTGGATTCCTTGGGCTTCAGAATAAATCTTTTAGCTTCAATTCCACCAGCAAGAAATAGAGATTCTTTCCTTACTGAGTCACAGCAGTGGGGCAAAAACCAGATGCCACATGTGGAAACCACAATACAAATTTTTATTGAAATGTGCAAGGTCAGAACTCTTAAGGGTTCTATTGCTTGAAGATTTCTCTAGCACTTCCTAATAGGGCCTGAAGAGGGCACTCTAAGCCAGGAGTCGGGTTGGCCAGAGTGAAAATTCGCCTAGGGTCCACCCCTTCTGTCCTCCACCCACCACAGCTTCACCCTTCCCCCCACACATATTTGGCAAATACCCTCCAATCCCCCAACCTTCCCATAATTTTTCCCGCTGCATGTTGCAAAACATTGTCTCCATTTTGCATATTTGTATGGGCACAGGCTGACTTCTCTAAGTTTTGCGATATAAGCAGAAAGACTGATCCCCGTGTGTACGATAATGGCCAGGACTGGAGTCCAGATAGTTTTGCGACATCTTTTGCTGTCTGCACAGGTCTCTCTTGGGCACTGCTTTGCCCCTGGAAGCATTGCTGGGAAAGAATTTGAAGTTCGGTGTCAGAGTAAAGGATCAGATAAAGAGCAAGGATTGGGAGTGAAGGTTGAGTTAGTTTGCTCTGTGTCCCCCATCCCAGGGGAACAGGGAACCGGTGGGGATTGTGTAGAAGGAAAATAAGCAGAAGAGGGAAGGTGTGATTGCTGGGGGAATTCCTGTTGCCTTGGCCTTGGGCAAATTATTTTACTTCTTAATCTGTACAATGGGAATGACAGCAGTAACTTTCTCATAGGGCTGTGTGAGGAATAACATGAGATTACAGAAGTAAGCTACCTAGAGAAGCACTGAGCACAAAGTGAGTGCTCTGTGAGTTGGCTGTCCGGGAACATGGCTCCTCTGCACTGCTGTCTACTGCCACTCTGCAAGTCTTGGGGCAGGACATTTATGGTGACCTAGGCAAGGAAAGAGGTGAGCTGGATTTAAAGGGGGTTGGTGCACTGAGGTGGCAGAGGCTGGTGCTGGGAATGTGGCATTAGCTGAAGGGGCCACAGAGAAGAGGCAGAATAAAGTGTTGGTAGCTGCCTACTGAGGAATAGCCTTGAATGGAGCCACATTATTGACCGGTGTGGGCAGAGCTTGTGGCCTCACGCCCAGTGGGTCAAGAGGTCAGACAGGCCCTGCAAGGTAGCACGTAGGGTCTGACCCCCTCCGCCTGTGGTTTCCCTGGCCTGTTGCCTGCTTCCATAATGGAGGTGGAGCCAGGGAAAGAGGGGGCTCCTAGGAAAACACAAAAACCAAGAGCCATGTTATGGTTTTAGTTCTTGCCAGTGAGACTGAAAAATACACAAAACTTGGACCCCATGAGAGCCAGGGGCCAGCCCCCATCCCATCTTCATGGCTCCCACCACCTTCATTATCCAAGGGGCTCTTGCTGTTATGGAGTCCCCATGAGATCTAGAGAATTCATGGCTTGCCACCTAAATTCTCCAGTCCATCCTATCCCTGCTTGGTAGGTGCAAGGGGAGGTATTTGCCCTCCAGCTTGTCCTGGCATCACAGTTCTGCAGGGCGCCGAGATGAGTTCGGTGTCTCTCCAACATGGCACCATCCCAAGTTTAAGCTGATCTCTGAATTCTTCCTTCTTCAGGGCCTCAGGCTGGCCCTGTGTCATCCTTAGATCTGAGCTGAGCTCTGGACCGTTCCTCTGGCCCCTGTGATGTCACCGCTAGCCCTGGAGTGTCCGTGGGACAGGCTGGTGCTGCGCTGATAGCCCCTTTATGGGGGTCAGGAGTGGTGGTGTGGAAGGCGTGGCATGAGCAGTAGTGGTGAGCGAGGTGGTGGATGTGCCCAGGGTGGGAGCATCTGGTCACCTGTCCCTTCTCCTGCAGGCCTCCCCTGTGTACAGCTTCAGCTTTCCCCGCAGGAAATTGGAGTAGATTCGGAAAAGTTTGCACAAAGTATCAACAGTGAATGTTCGGAGTGGAGCAGCAGAGGCTGTTGGGTCTGGAGGGGAGATGGCTTCCTTCTGTCAAGGAGAGAACAGAAGATTACTGCAGTGTCAGGGACCCTGGAGGGAGATCGGATTCAAGACAGAATGCGGGGGGTGGGGGGGTAATGAGGAGAGCCAGAATATTCCTTGGCAGGGTCCTTCTCCCATTTTACAGAAAGAACAGAGTGTGAGGGAAGATCTATTCCTACACACCTGGGCTCCCAGCGCCCGAAGCAGGGAGGTAAGGCTGCGCAGGCTGCTGATGGCTTTGTCCACGTGCAGCTGCAGGGTCTCAGATGGCTGGGAGGAGTTGGCCAACAGGGCCTGACCCCGAAGGATGGCTTCTGAGAGCAGGGCCAGGCCCTGCCAGACTTCCAAGGCCTGCTGCTCAACCTAAAGGGAGCAGAGACTCGGAGTCATCTGGCCCAAGCCAGCCCCTTCCTCATCCCTCTCAGCAGCCCCAAGCCCAAAGCTGAGCAAACAAACAGAAGGCATGCAATAAGGGTTGTGGAATGAATGAATGAACATATTCCATTCAGTCCTCATCTTTGCTGCTCCATTTTTTCCTCTATCTCTATTATTTTCCCTCCCACCCTATCAGGTTCTCAAAATGAGACTCCCCAAAAGGAAGGAAAAAAATAAACTCACCTCCATCCTCTTCCAGGCATAGAAGTTAACCTTGGTGTCTGGGACCGTGATGTTTTCACTGAAGCTGCAGCCTTCAGCACAGCCCATCTGAAAGCACAACCCAAGGGAGTCAAGGCCCCCAGGGGCTCCCAGCCCAGCCCACAGGCTATAGGCCCTCCAGCGTTGCCCCTTACCCAGCTTCCAGACGTGCATTAGGCTTACTAGTTTTATCATTTTTACTGGGGGCTCTGGCTTCCCACCTCCAGCCCTGAACCAAGTACCAGGACAGATTCCAGGTTCCTGGATCTTGGAGGAGACTCCTGAGCACCTCAGAGTGAATTCTGTGGAATGTCCTGGGGGCCTCACCGTGACATTTTCGGCGTCCCGGGCCTCCAGGATGTACCTCTCTAGGACTCGGCTGTCACAGATGAGGCGTGGCGGGGCGCCCAAGACTGGGAGGCCCAGAGGAAGCAGCAGCAAGGACAGCAGGGGCAGCAGGGCAGGACATTCTAGAAAATAGAGCCAGGCTTGGTGTGAGGCAGGAGCAGGAGGAGAGGGGTTGGTTTGGAGGGGCAGACTCACGCATCCCGCCTAGGCCAGTCCTCCCAAACCCAACCTTCCAAGCGCTCAGGTTCTGCCTCCTTTGCCTTCATTCAACCCTGCTGCCAAGCTCACACCCCACCCCCCAGCTACCGGCTCCACTTGTCCGGTCCAAACTTCAGTCCGGCCGTGACAGAGGCTTCCCCTCTCGCGGATCCCGGTGGTTGCTCCAGGACCCGGGTATCAACTTCTTCCCAACCCGAACAGCAGCCCTTCTTTTCCCCAAACCCCGAAATCTTGTCCCCGTCTCCAGGTCACATTCTGCCTTTCCCAGGGACTCCCAAAGCCCGACAGACACGTGGAGGCAGCCCCACCCCCCTTGTCCTTCCGGGGTCCCTCGGCAGGTCGCCGGTCCTTGAACTCAATCACCTCCGGGCCAACAGTCCTAGCGGTAAATCCCTTCTCAAACAGGGGCCGGGTCGGGAGCTCCCCAGCGGGCCAGCACTCACCGCGCACCCCCATCTCCTCCGTGCCCCACCTGGCCGCTTAGTGACCAGGGGCTCGGCCGGCGCCCGCGCCCTGAGCCCTCATCCCTGAAAGCTCGGTGGGGTAGGGCCACTCCACAGGCTGGAGGAGGGGGCCACTGTCCAGGGGTTGCCAAGCCAAGGGTCGAGCCGAGCAAGCGCAGGACCAGCGTCCAGGAGGACGCACAGCGAGGCAACTGGCCGGTGTTGGCCCGAGGACTGCAGCTGCGGCCGGGGGTCGGGACTGTTATCAGCATGTGTGCGTGCGTGTGTGGGGGTGGGGGAGGCTGTGTGCGTGAGGGGTCGCCCGAAGTGGGGGCCAGGAGGTCAGAGCAGGGGGCAGGACGCCTGGGTTGCAGGCTCGCCGGGGCGGGAGCTGCAGCAGGCGCGTGTGCAGGGACACCCTTCTGCCCGCCTGACCCCGGGAGGTGCAACTGGGTGCGTACCAGCGGGATGGGCAGAACGCCTGCGTCTGGTAGAGGAGAGCCACTCTGGGAAAAGCTAGGGACCCCCACGCCTCGCTGGGGGGCATCCGGGTCTTGGGCGCATGGTGGGCGCGGGAGAGAGGGGGTAGGACGGGGCACTCGGAGATGGAAGTGCCTAGGTGCCTGCGAGGGCGCTAGATTTGGAAGCCCAGAAGGTGCTGGCACGGGCAAGTAAGCTGCCTTCCTTTTCACAGTCCCTGTACTTGTCTGTCCTAAAACCAGTGTTGCTTATGTTGAGGAATTTGATGGGGGTGCAGAGAGCAAGAAGTGTAGGGGTCTTCTCCCCCAACAATCCTCACTTTCTAGGACCCTGGAAACCCAGAAATTGAACTTCTAGGGCACAAAAACACATGGTATGCTGGGAGGACATGCATGCACTTTGACATGTTTCTTTGATCTGCGATACAGGTCAGCCTGCATGGCAGAATTCTTATGAACTCTGAAATAGAGCTGACTCCTAAGGGGATGGCAGTTAGGATTTGCAGCTAAGCCTTTGTGGCTTCTAGGAAGCTCTGAGGCAGGGCAGCAAACTCCCTAAAGCAGGAGACCAAGGCTGGCTGGCTTTCGAAACTTGGAAAATGGCCTCAGCCCCTGAGCCTCAGTGTCCTCGCCTGTCAAATGGGTGTGATGAAAGTACCAGTCCCACCTCATGCAGATTTTGTAAGACAGCAGCAAAGTCCTACAAATACAGGTAGTTATACATATTCCTTCACTCCCTACCCAGTGCCGTGATATTGGAGGTATTTTATTCATGTGTTCCCTGCCTTTTTTGTGCACAACACTAGACTACACACTTAGCAAGACAAAAAGATGTGTTGAGACCTAGCCCCAATCTCCTGGATAGAGTTAGTAGCTTACCATAGAGATAAGATGTGTGTACACAGGGCAAAGTGTGAGGGTTGTAGTGCCCAGAGCTGAGCTGTAAGAGTTTGGAAGAGGGAGAGCTCCTCTAGCTGGGGAAGTCAAGGAAGCTCTGGTGGAGAACGTGACAATTAGCTCAGACCTGAAGGGCAGGTAGGATTTCAATGGAAAGAGATGTGAGCTGGGTGTGGGAGGCCAACTCAGCAAAGTGAAAGGAGGGTCAGGCATGTAGGGTATGGAAAGGAGAGGTGGCGATCAGGCCAGAGTGCTGGTCAAGGAGAGGTCGAGTTGTAAAGGGCCTTGAATGACACTGAGGAATCTGGCTTCTGTTTGGAAAGAGTGGTAAATGTTCATTCATTCGTTTACTCAAGAAATATTTGTTTCTTCAAAAAATGAATATTCATTCATTCAAGAAATACATAACAAAATAACTACTCTTGGCCAGGACCTGGGGATAGAGCAGTGAATGAAACAGTCAAGTGTGCCTGCCCTGGTGGAGCTGACATTCTAGTAGAGAGGCAGAGGACAAGCACAAACATGAATAAAAGAGAGGATCTCTGATGGCAATAAGGAGGAAGGACAGGCACAGAAGGGGGACCGGGAGTGTTAGACAAGGTTGCAATTTTATTTTTTTTAAAAGATTTTATTTATTTTTAGAGAGAAGGGGAAGGAAGGAGAAAGAGAGGAAGAGAAACACCAATGTGTGGTTGCCTCTCGCATGCCCTGCACCGGGAACCTGGCCTGCAACCCAGGCACATGCCGTGACTGGGAATCAAACTGGTGACCCTTTGGTTCGCAGGCTGATGCTCAGTCCACTGAGCCACACCAGCCAGGGCAAAGAGGTTGCAATTTTAGATCAGGCAGGCAAGAATGCATGCTGAGAAGGTGACCTGAATGAAGACATGAATGAGGCAAGGGAGGGAGCCATCAGGGAGGGGAGGACACCATGATCAGAGAGGGGTTCAGAAAGATGAATGGAGAGGTTGGTGTGTTTCCGGCGGAGGTAACGAGGGCCCGACTCTTCCCCACCCCACTCCCCTGCCCTCAGCTCACCTCAAGCCTACTCCAGGAGCCCTCCTTGAACCTGGTGTACTGGATGTCAGTCTGCACTTGACACTATGCCCTCTGGTCCGTTTCCCTCTCTGCACCAAGCAGACTCCCAGCCCCCCTTGGCCCTCAGAACCCAGTTCTGCTCCCTTCCCAGATCCCAGCTGGGAGACAAGCACATATACACTCACGTCCACACACGTCCGCACATGTGTTCTGTCCTGAACCCCCCACCCCCCAGGCTCTGCTCTCCCAGTCCCGACTCCTGCGTCACTGCCCTGACCTGACCATGAACAGAGAACCAGGGACAGAAGAGGGGGGAGTGTAGACACAGAGGAGAAGGAGAAGAGGATGAGCCTCTTGGGCTGTGGGACCCGCTCCTCTCTCCCTTCTGACAGCAACTTGTCAGAGGCCCCTACCTTCTAGAAAGGAAAGGAGATGGGCCATAAGCACAGCCTGTAGGTGCTGGGACCTGCTGGACAGCGGTTGTGTTGGCTCATCCTCTGTGGCTTTTGGAGAGAAAGCTCTGATTGCAGCTTGGGAGAGAGGGTAGAGGAAAGGATCTTGGTCCACCCAACTCCCAATCCCTAAACTGTGTAATCCTGCTAGAAGGGCAGAGGCTGGTTTGGAGGACTTCACCCCAGGTGCTCTTGGATACTGCTCAGCAGAGCAGGGTCCACCTGTCTGTACCGATCAGGGGACCCTGAGGAGCAGGAGGAAAACAGGAAGCTACCTGGGGCTCGCCACCCAAGGCCCACTACCCCCTAGACAGTGCCCCCTCCATCTTCCTGCTTGTATCCCTCTGGCATGGTGCTGACCCGGCCCCAGGACCACTGCAGAGGGTCTCCTCACTGATCTCTCCAGCTAATCCCCAATGCTGCTACTAGATTAACTCTCCAATTAAATAGCCTGCAAAGGCTCCTGGTTGCCTCAGAACTAAGACCCTCTGTCTTCTGCCATCTACCTGCCTCTCCTACCTATTCTCCCACTTTGCTCATTCCCATTCCCTTCATCACTCAAGCTCAGTTAGGTGGCTTTGAGCTTCCGGCCCTTTGCTCACCCTGTGCCTTCCACCCTACCATTCTCTTTCGATTGTTCTTTAAAGACCTAATCTAAATACTACCTCCTCTATGAAACCTACCCTGATCCCCCAGCAGGAAGTTGTCTCCTTCCGTTGTGCTGCCATCCTTACACATCTTAGGTCCGTCACTGGCAGGGCCACTATGCACAACTATCAAGGTTGAGTACTGTACAACTGCAGGGGCACCATTCATATAGACTCTGATGGGAATGGTACTCCCAGGAGTCATGCAGGAGAGGAGCCCTGTTAATTAGAGAAGAGAGCAAAGGACAGTGTATGATGGGTCTTGTTCATTTCGGTACTCATCAGGCACCCAGCACCTTTCCTGTTTATGGTCATCAGTTATGTGTGGCTTGCATTATGTAGTCCCTCCACTCCAGACACCTCAGCCAGAGATTGACCTAGTGGGGGGAAGTAAGCCATTCATCCTAAGAGTGCTTGCTGGAGCCATGCCTGGACAACCTAGCTCTGCAATCTTGGGGGCTTGAGAGGCCTCCCTCCACTTCCTGTGCAAGCAGCCACTGAGGCAGGGTCTGAAAAGGGACGGTTGTGACCGAGGATGGCGGGGGTGGAGGCTGGCTCTGTTCCATGGATTCTTCCTGGCAGCCAATTCAGATCGAAAATCCAAGGAGAAGCAAATTTACAGCGCCCCTGAGCTGTCCCAGGCCCCAGGCAGTACGAAGGCCCAGCTGCCTGGAGTTGGCTTGGGGATGAGGGGAGGCCTCTGGGCCTCTCCCACCCTGCTGTCCAAACAGTTGCTTCTTGGCTGACTTAAGAGTTCAGCCAGTGGCCCAGAAGACCTTCTGTGCTGGGAAGTGAGGTGGCCGAGGACCTTGGGGGACGGGATGGGGGGAGAGGGCTTCCTGGCCCTTGGGGCACTGGAAAGGGAGCAAGAATGTTGAAGAAAGGACTCCTGCTGGAGAACTAAAGTCCTGAGCAAGGATCAGTTTGGAGAAATTGAGGCAAGCGCTGCTTTCTTGGCCACAAGTAGCAAGGAGAATCAGATCCAGCTTTCTGTTCTCAGAAAACAGCTCTGTAACCTCACAGCCTAAAGGGGTTGTTTGGTAAACAAGGGAGTCCAGATCAGTGGCCTGAGCTCTGCCACTTACTAGCACCCAACTTGAGACTTTATCTCTGAACTTTGTTTCTATAGAATGGGGATGGTGAAGCGTAATCTCTTCCCAGGGCTGTGGTGGGATTATGTAATAGCTGGTATAGAGTGATCAATAAAAGCTGTTATTCCTGTTTTCTGCTTTATTATCCCTGCTATTTGTTCTCACTTTGGAAGCCTGGAGACCAGACCGCCAGCATATTCTTTGGCCTTTCTCCAGCACCTTCCACTGTTCCCTCTGGGGAGCTGTGCACAGGTTTATGGCACCTTATTTCTGGTGTTGCAGCTGCCCCACCAAGCAGCTCACCGGAAAAAGTAATGAGAATAGTGGGGTGTGGGAAGATATTTCTGGATGTATACACTGACTACACTTGGGAGAAACTTGTCCTTGAACGCAACTGAGTGAAATGGCATCACTGCAGGGGTCAGAGGTGGGTTAAGATAAAGATATCAAGACAAGTCTAGTTTATTCGAAGTCTGGGACCGACCAGGGATTTCTTACCCCATCATTGTGGGTCCCCAGAAAAGCCCAAAGCCTTTGGACTGAATGAGGCCTCTGGGCCCACCCTAGACAAGCATTACGGGGCCATCTTCCTCAGTTACTTGTCTCTTGAATCCCCCAAGCACTTGAGACCTTGAAGCCTGGCTCCCAGACACCACCAATACCTCCACCTTGAGTTCAAGAACCACTTCCCCCAGTTAGATTGCTGTGAAAAGTGTCAGCCCACATTCTAGGATCTCTAGCTCACATCACTCATCCTCTATCAGAAGGCAGAGCTGCCATATTGGCCAGAGTAACTTTCCTGTCCAAGCAGAGATAAAATTAGAAAGTCCTAATTGAAATAAAACCCTACTGGCAATATCAATAGGAGTGATGTTATCCTCCCATGTGAGGCCTTTGCAGGTATACAACTGTGAATACAAAAGTTTCATTTTGTTGACATGGGGCTTGAGAACTTTTTACAGATTTTGCATGAACTCTACTGGGTGGTCCTTCCTATAGGCTCTTCCTACTTAGAGGATTATAGGCCAAAATCTACTCAAGCGAAGTTTATAGCAGCCTTAGACATACACTTAAACACCCACATTGAGCAAATATTTTCCAAAATTGTTCATGGTTCACTGAGAACTAGCAAATTATAAGAACCTATTGTTTGACCCCACAGTCATCCCTAATCTGTATATAAGTGAGCCCTTTAGCTGATGTCTTATTTCATGAGCCAGCAAACGATTTTAGTACTTTCCAGAAATAAGATTCATGGAGTTAGAAGGGGCCTGGGAGGTTTTATGAAGGTGAAGTTTCACCCACTGCTTGTATATTTCCAGTGAGGAGACATTTGATGTTTCTCAAGAGAGTAGAGGCTTGTTATAGATTAGATAGCAAGCTGTCTTCCTCTGCATCCACCCATTCATCCATCTGTCAGATATTTACTCATTATTGGAATGGGCAAAGAAATCATTTCTTCTCCTTGAGGTTATCTCATTAGTTTGATGACTAACTCCCCTGATCACCCCATCTAGAGAGGAGAACAAAAGAAATGGCTTTGTAAAAAATTAATTTTTCTTATTACAAAATCATATGTGATCATTGAAAAACTAGAAAACATGACTAAACCAAAAAAAAAAACCAAAAACCCACAAACTAAAAAGCACCCATAATGCCATTAGGAAGATGAAGTCCTAAGTGGTCATTTTCACAAGACTTCTTTCTTGATGGGATTCCCTTGGCCTCACTCCAAATCTCTGTGCAGCTGGACATCTGTTCCCTAAGAACTACATTCCACACATACTTCTCCAACTTCTCCATAGGTTCAAGGATGTATGGAACATACCATTCTTCCCCCAACCCCTGATCAAGCACCAGGAACTCATCTGGGACATAATGTGGGGACCTACCTAGAAGGATCATCAGCGCATCCAAACCAGTTCATGGGTCCAGAGGGCCTTCTTCCCTCCTAGGCAAGCCACAATCCAAAGCCTGCCAGAACTAATAACCCAGCCTTGTGAATCAAACACAAATCACCTTCCCCTCTCCCTACCTACATTAGGAGGCCCCAAACCATTTCTTAGCCAAAAGGCTCACACTAACAATAAAAGCCCTTAGAAATGCCAGGACAGTTCCAAGCACAATGCAAACTGTCTTTTTAAAGTCTATTTGTCCTACCTGCTATTAGACTAATTGTTCATACTCTCCCAGTCAGGTCTGGTGCCTAACACAAATCCCTCCAACTAATGGGAGCTCAATAAAGTGACGAATGATGAACAAAAATCTACATCCACCTCTAAGATAGGCATTTGAATTCTGGCCTATGAGGATGTTTTTGAAGTAGGAGGTTATTATGCACTCATTGTGGGCACTGCAGCTGTTGAGTGAAAAGAATGGAGTGGAACTGCATTTGGACATGTTCTGCCCCTACTCACTTCTCCCATTTCTCAAGTTTTGATGAAAGACACTTCAGAGAGCCAGTAAAAGTTAGGTCGGGGGGGGGGGGGGGGAGGGTAGGCAGTAGTAGAGAGGGGAGTGTCAGCCCCCTTCTGGCCTCTCTACAAATAGGATAGTTTCTGCCCCGCCCACCATGCCGGGACTCCAATATATGCAGAAGTCTTCCCCTTATCTCCTACTTGTCCCCACACACTCAAGGGTTAGCCCCCACACCCTCCAATGTCTAGGGGCTGTTTCTATAAACTTGCCACTGAGGGAAGCTGTACTGGCAAGCAGTGAGAGAACATGGAGTAGAAATAACAAACAAATAAGCTGGGAGACAGAGCTGCCAAAACAAACCAAATGTGAAAGGGCTGCCTGCCGCCACCTCAGCTGGGCCCAGGCCAGGAGTGCTGAAACAAGGACACATACGTGCAGGGAGACACATAGTTCCATCCAGCTCCCTGCTGGTTCTTCTGCTACTGGGGGACTCCAGGGCAAGAGAGCCTTGCAGTCAAGGATGATAAAAGACTAGGGGGTTGGGGGGTATGATAGGATTATCTCCCATCTTATCTACCTCAAGTCTCCCCCTCTTCCTGCTTTCTAGTCACTGAGTGACCCTCTAGCCCCGGAACATGTCCTGCCTATTCCCGAATGTGCTTTGTGCATATTAACCCCTCTACCAGATATGCCCTTTCCCTTCAGTTTGCCAGGCAAACTCCTACTCATCCTCCAAAACCCAGGCCAAAGGTGAAACTATCTTGGACCCCGCAGGAAAGTAAGCATTTCCTTCTCCACGTTTCCATATAATGGCTACTCTTCTCTTATAACATAACATGTCTTCCTCATTTACAAAAACTGTGTATCCACCTTCCCAATTGAATGGTGAACTTCGTGAAGGCAGAGGCCACTTTATATTCACGTTTGTATCCCCAGTGCCCAACCCAGGCCTTGGCTCTCAGTGGGTACTTAGCACATGTTTACTTTTTTGAATAAAGCACTAGTCCTTTTGTTAGAGGTCTGCTTTCCTGAGTTACTGGCTGTCACTTATCCAGCATCAAAGTCCCTCATCAATAGAACACTCAAGCCAGGAGGATTTCAATACATGAAAAGCCTGATTTTCAAAACCCAAACCAAACTACCTTCAAGCAAACTAGAGAAAAATTCTGTTACGACCCTTTAAATCAGAGATTTTCAAATTTATGATCTCAACAAAAGTAAAACACAATTACATACCTAGTACACATGTGTATATATACACAAGATAACTGAAAGAGTGGCAACAAAACTGTCACTTCAGTTGTACTTCACTTGCTTTTTAAGTCTATGATCCAGTAAAATGATTTTAAGACTCGCAAATGGACCACCACTCACTTTGATAAACACTGCTTTAGATGACTCTAGTTTGATAAACACGAGATCAGATCTTTCTAAAAACACGCAAACAAAATGTATTTATTATTTGTGTGCCCAGTAATTCAGGAAGGAGGCTTTCTTTTTCCACAAGAGCATCCAGCCAGAAGGGTTTCAAGGGCTCTGGACTATTGGTGCCTGGAACAATTTGGGCCCACAGGACCAGGAAGCAAATGAAGCTATATGCCAGTTCTGCCATGGAGCATGATACATGATTAAACCCTCACCTTTCCTGTGCCTGAGAACCTCTAGCAGAGCCTGATGCTTCTGAGCATACAACTATCCCAGCTGCATTCAGCAGGCAAGAGTGTACACCTCACCCATTCGGCTTGCCTCTGAATGAGAAATTTTAAAGCAAACATTGGGTTGTCAGGCTTCTGCATTGTACTAAAGTTTATGTTACAATGTCCAAATTACAATCTTACTCTCTGTGAAGGCACTCAGGTTCCCTCCTGCATCTAAACACTTGTTAAGTTTCCTACTCTCCTTTTCAGGAACACACAGACTTTACAAAAGGGAGAAGCAGTGGCAGTGGGGTGGGTGGGCACTAACACAATTCTATACTTTTTATTGCCTAGAACAATGGTTGATTACAGACCACAAAGATTCAGGAAGGCCCCGTGGCTTGGCCCAACAAGAGACACTCCCCCTGTCAATCAGAGTCCTCTGAGCTCTGAGACAACAGGCTTTTCCTTATATAGCTCTGGTAGGAGGTCCATGACAGTACTCTCAAGAGTCATACCTGAGCCTAGCTGAGAGGGTGGGTGGATAAGGTGGGCCAGACTAATTTTATTACTTGGGTGTGACCCTGAAGACTCGGATGTGGATGGCAGAGTTGTTTCTGATGCGGGTCAACGGCTCTTGTGTATCAGTCTCTGGTTCCAACTCATCAACAAGCTCCACAGTGGAGGTATTGGCAGCCACCTGCAATGACCCGAAGCTGCCCGCCTGAAGCTGTAGGGCAATGTTGATTGCGCGGTTGATGGCCAGGCCCAAGCCATGAATGTAGATCTCAGTACATGCGTTCTGACCCCGCGACCCTCCATCCAGCAGCTTCTGGCAGCGAGCCAGTTGAGCCTTAAAGTCAGTCTTCATGTTAACATAAATGTCATTGGGCCTCCGGGGCAGGCGATGGGGCAACCGCTTCCGAAGAGTGTACTCCACCGGATCCAGCTCAGTCTCGATGGCCCCGCGGTGCTCTCGGTTTTCTGCCATGCTACGTGCCCTGGCACGGGAAAAAGACAACATCAGTGAGGTATGACAAGCGACTCCACTTTTCTTACCCCATTTCTTGCCCAAAAGGTGTAGCCAGAAGGGGGCGCCCTCAATGCCTCCCTTTCCCTCTAGCCTTAATCTCCTCCCATCACCTTAAGCTCCCATATCTCCCCCACTTCTTGATTCCTATTCTTTCAACACCTCGTCCCCAACCTTAGTCCCCCCCCCCCACCCCCTTCCCTGACTCTTCTTCCACGCCTACTCTCTCCGGTCCACAGTAGCCTCCAAGTGCACGAGGCCCTCTCCCCTGTCACTCACGCGTTGCGCTGACTGGCCCGAATAGAGGGTGCAGCCCAGGACCCCTGACCCCAAGAAGGGAAGAAAATGAGAGCTTAACAAGAACCCTAGATAGTCCAGGACACCGTTTCTAAAAGGGCCAGAGTGCGCAGGCGCATCCCCACCCAGTGTGAGACCCACCAATCGCCTTCCAGGTCTTCTCTCTCCCCGCCCCTTTCCTGGAGCGACGCGCAGCAGTGTTTAAGTAACGCGAGGTTACGCAGCGAGGGGGTGGATGGGAGGGGGGGAGATGATGGGACCTACCACGAGTACACCTCGGAGGAGGCGGGGCACGATGGCGGTCCGGGCATCGTGGGAATACTCGGGGCGGGGAAAATGTGGGTGGGGATAAGGGTCTTTCAAAGACAGCTGAGAGAGGACTAGTCTGGACTCCTGCATCCATCGCAGGTCCTCCGGTCAGAAGAGTGTGGAGTGGACAGAAGTGACTTCCTGCCCAAAGACAGAGTAGGGCATTGAGTGGCCAGGTTGGCCTTCGACGGAGGACAGCGTTTCTGGACTCCACTGCAGTTCCACGGGACCCGTCCCTCTCCCCTGCCTCTTCAAGGGCTGACCCCAGGCCAGTGCGTGGGGACTCAAGCTATGAGACCCAGGTTTCACGGCTTCCTGGGGGTACACTGACCCGCGCACACCCCTCAACTATCACCAACCAGTTCTGCCACTCCCTAGCGGGAAGGACAAGGCAAAGCGCGGATGGGGGGTAGGAAGGTTCCTAGCTCCCTAAGGGCAGTGGGGAGAAGTTGACTCTGCCTGGGGTGGCGGTCCTCTGCCCAGTTTGGTGCTGCTTCTGGATAGTTCCCTTCAGAAACGCATTAGACCTGCATTGGAGACCTTGAACTACTCTTCTTTATTCCCCATCCCTCAAATGGGGATAATTTCACCCTTGCCATGGAGTTGTGAAGCCCAGTATAACCTTGTAAACTGGAAGCCTATACACGTGAGTTGGCATTTTTTTATGGCCCCCACACCCCTCTCTAGTTGTCTAGGGTGGAGTCCAACCTTATTTTACTAGAGGTTAGAAAGAGGTCAGGTTCCTGAGAACTCCCAGCACGATTTAAATCCCATAGTTCTCTGAGTTCCAGATTCCTTCATTAACCACAAGTTAAGGGTTGCACAGGGGGGCAAGAAGGGAAGGTAGCAGGTGGGGAGGAAAGGCTGGCAACCACCCTATTCTGCTATTCTGCCTCAGAAGTGATATCTGAGCCTTTATTTTTATTTAAAATATTTTATTTACTTTTAGAGAGGGGAAAGGAGGGAGTAGAGAGGGAGAGAAACATCAATGTGCCAGATATACATCAGTCGGTTGCCTCTTGCACACCCTAAACTGGTGACCTGGCCCACAACCCAGGCATGTGCCCTGCCTGGAAATCGAACCAGCAACCTTTCGGTTCACAGACCAGTGCCCAATCCATGGAACCACACCACCCAGGATTGGTTTGGTTTTTGTTTTGTTTTGTTTTCATTTTTTATTTTAGAGAGGGAGAGAAAGAGAAATGTGGATTTATTGTTACACTTATTTATGCATTCATTAGTTGATGTACATGGGGGACCCGAAAAACCCTGGAATTATCTTCTGGAGGGCAGGCTCCTTGCAGTGCAGGCTTCTCCCGCTAGGTAAGTGTTCTGGGAACCCATCTGTATTGGTGTACCAGCTGGCATTGTTGTGAGAGGCTGCCTTCAGCTTCAGAGAATTTTTTTTAAGGCCCTGTCAGCATGTTTGCCCATTTCATGATGGGTGATTTACAAGTGCACCTACACACACCATGTTGAGTGTTCAGCAGTGTTTGACCAAAAAATGGCATGACCCCCGTACCCGACTCTCCCTATTCATGCAATCTTGCCTTGAGCAACTTTGTTCTCTCAGATGAAAAAAGTCCTCAAAGGGAAAGGTTTTGCTGATGTGGAAGAAGTGAAACAAACAATGGCAGAAGCACTAAAATTTATGCATCAAAATCAATGAGTTCAAAAACTTTTGAACAGTTGAAAAAACATCTTAATAGGTGTATTGCATCAAATGGCGAGTACTCGGAAGGTGACTGAAGTTTAAACATGTAAAAATAAATACACAATTTTTTATAAATAAATTCCAGGTTTTTTCGGTCCCTAAGCAGGGAGAGAACTCACAACTTTCACAGATTGGGAAGACACTCTAAAAAACTGAGCTACCTAGCCAGGGATGCACTGGGTTTTAAAGGATAAACAGTTCTTCCAGGAACCAAGAAGTACTGTGGAACAACTGAACAGTGCTTTTGAAAGAAGGGGAGCATAATCTAAGCTTCTACCTCAGGGAACTAGAAAAAGAGCCAAATAAAGCCAAAGCAAGAAGACGGAAGGAAATATATAGAGCAAAATTCAATGAAATTAAAACACAGAAAGACAAGAAACACAAACCAAAAACTAGTTCTTTGAAAAGATAAGTAAAATTGATCTAGCAAGACTGGCAAAAAAAGAGGACAAGAGAAAGAAGACTCAAATTATGATTATTAGAAATGAAAGCAGGTATAGCACTAAAGGTCCCTCACAGGCTAAAAGATACTAAGAGAATAATAAAAACAACCCTACATACATGAATTTGGCAACTTAGATGCAATGGACCAATTCCTAGACAACCCAACTTACTCAAGGTGAAATAGACAATCGGAACAGTTCTATCTATTCAAGTAATTAATAGCTTAAAAAAATACCTTTAGGAAAAAAAAAAAATCTAGGCCCAGGTGGTTTCACTGGTGAATTCTACCAAAAGAAGAAGTAACACAAGCTCTATACAATCTCTTCCAGAAAACAGATTGCGAAGGAATAGTTCCCTACTAATTTTCTGAGGTCAAAACCAGACAAATACAAAAGAAGAAAACTACAGACCAGTACTTCTCATAAACAAAGATCCAAAATTCCTCACAAAATGTTAGCAAATTGAATCCAACAGCAGTCCTCCTCATCCAATTTCACTTTCCACACTTTCAGTTATCCATGGTCAACTGCAGTCTGAAAATATTACATGGGATATTCCAGAAATAATTCATAAATTTTAAATTGTGCGCCATTCTGGACCGTGTGATTAAGTCTTGCCTTCCTGCTGTCCAGGGATATGCCTTATCCCTTTGTCCAGCATATCCACAGTGTATACTATCCATCCATTAATCACTTATAGTCAATCTTGGTTATCAGATCAACTGTCGAGGTATGGCAGTGCTTTTGTTCAAGTAACCCTTATTTTATTTTTAAGGCTTTAAAAAATTTTATTGTTTATAGAGGGAGAGGGGAAGGGAGAGAGAGGGGAACATCAATTTGTTGTTCCACTTACATATGCATCATTGGTTGATTCTTGTATGTGCCCTGATTAGGGATCACACCTGCAACCTTGGTGTATCGGGATGATGCTCTAACCAACTGGGCTACCCAGCCAGGGCAGTAACCTTTATTTTACTTAATGACCCTGAAAAGCAAGAGTAGTGAGGCTGACAATCCAGATATGCCAAAGAGAAGCCATAAACTTCTTCCTTTTAAGGGAAAACGTACGTATGTATAAAAAAAAATAGTATATATAGAGTTTGGTACTATCTGTGGTTTCAGGTAACTGCTGGGATCTTGGAATGCATTCTCCACATATAAGCAGGGACTACTGTATATAAAAAGAATTATAAACCATGATCAAGTAGAACTGATTTCAAAGATGTTTCAATATAAGGAAGCCAATCAATATTATCTACCACATTAACAGTATAAACAAAAAAATGTACATGATCGTATCAATTGATGCAGAAAAACTATCTAACATAATTTAGCATCCATTTATGATAAAAACTCTAAGCAGAGAAAGAACAGAAGGAACTTCTTCAACCTGATAAAGAGCATCTACAAAAAACCTACAGCTACCATTACGCTTAATGGTAAAAGACTGGCCACTTTTCTTTTAAAATCAGAAACAAGACGAGAATGTCTTCTCTCACCACTCTTATTGTTGGAAGTCCAGCCAATGTAGTAAGGCAAGGAAAGGATACAGACTGGAAAGGAACAAATAAAACTGCCCCTATTTGCATATGACATGACTAGATACATAAAAAAACCCCAAGGAATCTACATTTAAAAACCCTTATAATTAATAAATGAGTTTAGCAAGTTTACAGCATACAAGATTAATGTATAAAAAAATCAACTGTGCCCTGGCTGTTGTGGTTCAGTGGACTGGGTGCTGGCCTGCGAACCCAAACCAAAGGGTCCCTGGTTCAATTCCCAATCAGGGCACATGCCTGGGTTGCCAGCCAGGTCCCCAGTTGGGGGCGTGTGAGACGCAATGTATCGATGTATCTCTTGCACACTGATGCTTCTCTCCCTCTCTTCCTCCCTCCTGTCCCCTCTCTCTAAAAACAAATAAAATTCTTTAAAAAATTAACTGTATTTCTACAAATTGGCAATAAACAATTGGAAACTAAAATTTAAAACTATAATACCATTTACTATCACCCCAGAAATGGGGGGAAGTGGGAGAAATATTTATGTGTAAATCTAACAAAATATCTACAAAATCTGTATGCTGAAAACTACAAGTGCTGATAAAAAAAATCAAATATCTAAAGAAATATAGAGTTATACCATGTTCATGTATCGGAATATTCAACATAGTAAAGATATCAATTCTCTCCAAATTGATCTCTAGCTTTAATAAATTCCTAGGAAAATTCCACCAAGAATTTTTGCAGATACAAACAAGTTTATTATAAAATTTACATGGGACGACAAGAAAAGTTAAAGCAACTTTAAAAAAGAAAAAGGCGGAATCACTCTTCCTGATTTTAAGACTTACTATATAAACACAGTATCAAGATAGTGTGGTATATGCCAAGGGATAGACACAAAAATCAGTAAAAACAGAATAAGAGAACCCAGAAATGGATTCACACAGAACAGCCAGCTGATTTTTGACAATAACCCAAAAGCAGTCGAATGGGGAAAGAATAAGTCTTTTCAGCAAGTGGCATTAAAGCAATTGGACCTATAGGCAAAGAACTGAACCTGAGCCCTATGGAAAAATTAACATGAAATGGATAGTATATCTCTGAATATAAAATGTAAACTATAAACCTTCCA